AAAAAAAAAAAAAATCGTTGGTATGATCATGCTTTTCCATCTCTAATCGGGCTGCATTATGTAACCGCAATCAATATATTTTGCTAATTTTAGCTGATTTTGTTTAGAAATAATCACAGTCTCTAGCCAAACTCTAAAATGCAATCTTTTGAGAAACTTTTTCTCTCTTCGTGGGGTTTGAATAAATTAGTATACTAATTTTTCGACATTAGTATATATAGCCCACTCCAGAAAAAGTATACTAATTTTTCAACATCACCAAGCTTCTCTTTCTCTACGAAGAAGACATACCGGATTGCATTAGAGAACTATAACAAAATGTCTCGTAAATCCAAGAATAGATCAATGTTATCTCAAGTTGAGAGAATATATTTTGATTTAGCAACCACAGGAAGAAAAATAATACATGAACATTCTTGTTATTTTCCTTTGACAGGAACTAAATAATCAATCATCGTTTTCAGATAAACAAAAAGAAAGTGTCGAATCTCTTATGCGATGGATGCAAAAGTGCTTCTATTTAAAAATCGTCTCTTATTAAAATCAATAAACAAAAATTAGGCGGCAGGGGTGTACATGGACCGGTTTGATTCGATTTTTATCAAAACCAAATCAAACCAACTATATATCGATTTGGATTGGTTCGATTCTGTCGGGTTTTCGAGTTTTTGGTTACATGGATATTATTTCAATCTTACTTTGTTAAATTTTATTATAAGTAAATATGTTTAGTAAAAATTTAAAAAATTGACAAATATGTGATCTATTAAAATATTAATCCTATGGAAGAACTTTCTTAGTAACACATGATAGTTACTTTTTTAGTCGCCTAACAATAATTTTTTGTTGATATATACTTTCAAGGTTAACCGAATTTAATAATTAAACAAAAAATCAATATGGTACCTAAATAATGATATGTTCTATATAATTTTAAATTATCGAAATACCAACTTCAAATTCGAAAAAATATATAAGAATTTAGCGCAACGAATACAGTTGATACATGTTGTATTCGTTGCGTGAACAAATACAATTGTATTGACTATATTCGTTGAGCGTTTGAATACAAGTTGGTAGCAATCAAATAATACCTACGAATGGTAATTAGGCAAACTATAATTACAAGGCTCTAAACTATAGTGTTTTATCAAAATTCGTCCACTTTTAAAATGAGATTTGGAGGGTGGGGGAGGGGGGAATTCAGATCTGGGCTTTTAAGTCAAGGCCGTTAGTATACAGGCCCAATGGAATAACTCAACTTGAAATCGCTCCTGATCCGGCCACCTCCAAGTGAGCGCGCGAAGATGTTACTTTGCGGAGGCCATAGGTTCAATGTATTGGCGCCAATCCCATTCTCTTTTGGGACTTTCATCAAACACCTTGCAACTTCAAAATGCTCAAAGCTTTCACTGAGCACAAAATCATTTACTACCGCCGCTAGCGCAAACGTCTTCAGCTCCTCCCGTTTTGAAGTGCTAAACTCGCGTCAAAAAGAACAAGTTCATCTCTACATCGATTCCCTCCTCGAATGGAACCAGGTTCCCCCTATTATATTTCTGTTAATGTAAGCGTTTGTACTTACCAGATTATATGTATTTAGAGAATCCTTTTTTTTTTCTAGCAGAGAATGAATCTGACTGCCGTAAGGGAGGCGAGTGAGGTCATGGAAAGGCATGTTGAAGACTCGCTTTCAATAATAGATCCAATTCGGACTTCGTATCTCTCACATTGTGGAGCTTCATCAGAGAACCTCAATCTCGTCGATGTTGGAAGTGGTGCGGGGCTTCCTGGAGTAATTTTGGCCATTGCTTGCCCAGGTAGTTATTCGCATTTTTTCTTCACAACGTTTAAGGAACAATATCTCAGAATAATAAAAAAAATAAAAAGAAGAGATTTAAAATTTGCCTTTGTAGAATGTGTTGCATTTCTTTGTATTTACTCGAGTTGATCATCAAATGAAGAAATCAAAAATGTGAAATTTGATTTTTTAAATGGAACGAGCAGCTCTTATTGCTTGAGTAGTTTGCTACGAGATTGAGTTACATATGTTGTAATTCGAATACAAACACAGAGCCGATGCAGCGGAAATTAAACAAGGAACGTACCTTCAGCCATGGTTGTTCAAGTGAATCGAGGAATTGCCTTTGAAACCTTTAGTAGATAACCTAGAAAATCTTATAGCCTGTGCCTATCATAGGATGTCAGACTGATGGAGTCACAGACGTATTTATAGGTAGGCTAGGGACTCTTAGGCAAATACTTTAGCCCTAGGGACTTCTCCATAAATTATAATTACCCTAGGGACTCCTAATATATGGTAATTTCTTTCCATCAAAGAACCTACCGTATATGCATAACTACAGAATATTATCTGATATATTATTTCTTTTGGAAGACAAGGTAAATAATTTATTACCTTATATGTGAGCCATACTAGAAATCTCTAGAAAGAGACGGTGAATTTCTTACATTCTCCCACTTGTCCCATATATTTAAAATCAGATAATCCTTTATGAGAGATAAATATATAATATGGCCATAGACTTTATCACTCAACTAAAAGTTATGCAACAATCACTTTAGCTAGAACATATCATTACATGAATCATGGCGGTCATGCTCTTAAACAAACACTTCCTTCCATGTATTACAATGCACAATACATTCTAACAAAGTGTCAACAACTTTATGAATGAACTTACTATAAGTCATTCAGAGTCCAACTTTATTGATCCAATGATCCCAAAATAATACATGAAAAACCAAAGTGTGCACTTTCACGTATATCAAAATAAACATAATGTCTATACAAACTGTTAGAGAATAAAGCAAGGCTAAATTGAGCTACTAAGACCCATATGGGTTACATGATCCTTGAAAATATTAGCCAGCAGACCGTTAGTCATAGGATCAACAATTATCAAAGTAGTGCTAATATGCTCAAACTCATATCTTGCTTCTTTACATAGTCTCTAACCATCAAGTACTTTATGTCGATGTGCTTGCTTCGGCTGCCACTTTTATTATTCTTAGAAAAGAATACTGTAGCTGAATTGTAACCGAAGATTCTTAATGGCCTTGAAATGGAATCGACAATCCTAAGACCAGAAATAAAGTTTTTCAACCATAACGCATGTGATGTAGCTTCATAGCATGCTATAAATTCAGCTTCCATTATGGATGTTGCAACAATGGTCTGCTTGACACTTTTCCAAGACACAGCACCTCCAGCAAGAAGGAAAATGTATCCTGAAGTGGATTTACCAGTGTCTTTGCATCCACCCAAATCAGAGTCTGAATATCTAATCACCTCCAATGAGTTAAGAGTATTTGTATGTGAGCTTAAAATCCTTGGTTCCTTGCAAATATCTCAAGACCCTTTTACCAACTTTCTAATGGTCAAGACCAGAGTTACTTTGATATCTGCCAAGCATTTCTACCACAAAAGCAATATCAGGTCTAGTACAGACATGTGCATACATAAGGCTCCTAACAAGCGAAGCATAGGGAATGTCTTTCATTTGCTCCTTTTCCAATGCATTTTGTGGACATTGATTCAAAGAGAATTTGTCACCTTTAATTATGGATGCTGCTATAGGTGAACAATTTTTCATCCCGAATCTTTCCAGAATTCTTTCAATGTAGGCATTTTGAGACAGTCCAAGTAATCTTTGGGATCTGTCTTTGTGAATCTCTATGTCAATGACATAAGAGGCTTCACCCATATCCTTTATCTCAAAATTCTGGATAAGGAACTGTTTGGTCTCATGCAACAATCTCAAATCACTACTTGCATGTAAAATGTTATCCACATATAGGACTAGAAAAATATATTTGCTCTCACTTATCTTAAGGTATATACACTGATCAATCAGTGTTTAGAAAAGCGATCGCTTCGTCGCTTAAAGCACGAAGCGACAGTGTATCGCTTCTGGCTGCTCGAAGCGATGCGATCTTGAAAAGTGCGCGCTTTACTAGCTGAAGCGACGAAGCGAGAAAATCGACGAAGCGATCGCTTCTTTTACAAAAGCGCACTGGCCCTTTTTTAAAAAAAAAACTTGGGGTCTGTTTTTTAATTATACAAAAAAGACCCCTAAATAGTCACAACAGACCACTGCTTCTCCCGTCAAAACAGAGACATCGACAAAGGGCTAGGGTTGACCCCTTCTCTCTCAAGCTCGAGCTCGACCACTGCTTCTCCAGTCCAGGTAATTTCTTTCTCCTTTCTTCTTCATTTCTTCTTCTCCTTTCTTCTTCTCCTTTCTCCTTCTCCTTTCTTATTTTTCTTCTGCTTCTGCTGCTTCTTCATCTGCTTCTTCTGCTTCTGCTTCTTCTGCTTCTTCTTCTGCTTATTTTTCTTTTGCTTCTGCTTATGTTGCTTCTGCTTCTTCTGCTGCTTCTTCTTCTGCTTATTTTCCTTCTGCTTCTGCTTCTTCTGCTTCTGTTGCTTCTTTTTCTGCGTCTGTTTCTGCTTCTTCTGCTTCTTCTGCTACTTCTGCTTCTTCTGCTTCTTCTTCTGTTTCTGTTTCTGCTTCTGCGTTATTATATTTCAGCATATAAAATTAATTATATATATGTATTATTTTTAGTTTATGTGATTTTTTAAATGTTTTTTTCAGTTTATATAATTAATTATTATATATATTATTATTATATGTCTTTTCAGTTTATTGATTATGTTTTTTTTCTTATATCTTAAATAATAGGGATATTAAAATGTCTCAAAGTTCGAATGGTTTGTGAGAGAGCTAATGAGAAGAAGAGTAGAAGAATAAGATGTTGATTCTAGTAATTTAGTAGCTTTAATTTTACTTGTCCTATGGTTTGTGGATGATTTGGTGGTACCTAGTACCTACTTTTAAGTATTTAAATTGAAGTTTTTGATTATTTACAAATTTACATTATGTTTTTTAAGAATTGCGCTTCACTTTAAAAAAGCGTGCACTTCGCTTTTGAAGCGAGGCGAGCCCTTGTCGCTTTTTTGCGCTTCGCGCTCTCAAAAACACTGTGATCAATGATGTTCTCCGTAAATCCAAAAGAAGAAACAACATTATGAAATTTAATATACCATTGGCGGGAAGCCTGCTTTAGCCCATAAATGGATTTATTCAATCTTGCAAACGAGGTGACTTTTGTCCTTATCACAAATCCTTCAGGCTGACGCATGTAGACCTCCTCTTCAAGATCTCCATTCAGGAAAGTTGTTTTCACATCCATTTGATATAACTCTAAATCAAAATGAGCTACTAATGCCATGATGATTCTCAATGAATCCTTCTTTGATACTGGAGAGAAGGTTTCATGGTAATCAATGCCTTCCCTTTGAGTAAAACCCTTAGCTACAAGTCTGGCTTTATACAACAATGACACAGTATAATCCCACAAGTGGGGTCTGGGGAGGGTAATATGTACGCAGAACTTACCCCTACCCCGAGGGGCAGAGAGACTGTTTCCAGGAGACCCTCGGCTCAAGAAAGCAACAAGAGACGATATATTAGTACCATCAATAAAATCATAATAAAATAACAACAATATAAGAAATACGAAATCTGGCTTTATATCGTTCGATATTACCCGATGAGTCTTTTAGTTTTAAAGACCCACTTGGAACCTATGGTAGATGATCCCTTTGGTAATTCGACGAGATCCCAGACTTTATTTTTAGCCATAGATTCTAACTCTTCTTTCATGGCATCATACCAAAGTGTGGAGTTTTCTCTACTCATGGCTTGTGAAAACGAGCATGGATCATCTTTTAGTCCAATATCATAATCAGACTCTTGGAGATACACAATATAGTCACTAGAAATTGCTGGTTTTTGAACTCTTGAGGATTTTTTTACTCCCACTGGTTCAGGCACTTCTTCAGTGGGTCAGGTAAAGCGGGTTGATCTTCATGTGGCTCCTCAAGTGGTGGTGGATCTTGAACTTGTTGTTGTTTAGATAATTCATGAGAATTTTTCTGAGCAACATTCAAGTTTCTAATACATAAAGGTACCACAGGTGGTTCCCTTATTTTTTTCAATTCTACCCTTTGAGTCAAACCACTCCCACTTTCTTCATGTTCCTCAAGAAATTTAGCATTTCTAGCCCCAACAATTTTAGGAGAATGAGAAGGACAATAAAACCTAAATCCCTTAGAGTTAACTCCATAGCCTATAAAATAACCGCTTATTGTTCTTTCATCCGACTTCTTTAGTTGTGGGTTATAAACCCTCACTTCAGTTTTACATCCCCAAACGTGTAAATGATTTAAACTAGGTTTCCATTCTTTCCATAACTCGAAAGGTGTCTTGGAGACAACCTTGGATGGAACCCTATTTAAAATATACACAACGGTTTTTAAGGCTTCACTCCATAAGGATAAAGGTAAATTTGATCTGCTAATCATACTTCTTACCATGTCCATCAATATCCAGTTCCTTCTTTCTGCCACACCATTTTGTTGTGGTATTCCTGACATGGTATATTGAGCAATTATACCTTCACTTTCAAGGAACTCAGCAAATGGACCCT